GTGGCATCTATATGCCACAGCGCCAGAGCACTGCACAGTTTCCCCCTGTATGGTCAGGCGGGTGCTGTGCAGCCGGCTTTGGGGTGGCACCAGAGCATGTGGTATCTAAACACTGTGCTCTGATGCTATCCCAAAGCCAGCACAAAGGGGCAGTCTGTTAGGGATAGTTAGATTTCAGGTTGCATAGAATACTGTTATCTGTTGCTTCCACATATTTTTGGTTTATCAAAGGAACAACTGAACAGGGAAAAAAAGCATAATTCACAAAAATTTTATGAATAGAAAAATGAATTACAGGAAAAGTATTTTTCATTCGTAAGCCACCTTGAGTCCTGGTTGCAACTGTAACAGTGTTCCATCCTTTGCTGAAAGATGCATGGAGCAAATTAAAGTTGATTCATACCTCATTAACCATCTGAGACTGAGCTCCTGCATGGTTGCACATAGCATAACACCTTCACATGTGGAACTTCACTGTGGGTCCTCTGTTTCTAGCTCGAGGATACATTATATTGCTATGAGAGCTGCCCCCATAATCATTCCATGGCTGGTAGAGAACAAGGAGGGGAAATCAAAAAAAAGTTGTCTGTGTTAGTGTGGTTACGCAGCGCGTGATGATCCACGTCAACGTGCAGCACCAGATTCACCACCTTCCCAGATGCAGGTAGTAGCTTGTCAGCTGGAGAAGCACCTCTCCCCTTCCAGAATGAGTAAAGAGACTCTATAAACAGATGTCTCTCAGATGAGGCTTTAATCTTATTTCCTCTATGTAAAAGGCTATATACACGATCCACCAACACAGTCATTAAAACACTAGCTCTTGATCAACATCAGCCCACGTCTTTACACACCACACCACACATGTGTCCTGAGGCATCTGCCTTATATAGCCATTTGGCCTTCTGGCTCTGCCTCTTCCTGTGGACACCTGTCACTCAACCCGAGTGACTGCAGTTCTGCAGCACTTGTCAGTGCTTTTCAGCATCAGGTGACCATCTACATGATGTCACTTCCCATGACATCGCATGACTCAGCATGATTCGGCATGAATCAAATGCTGTGTCATCATGGCTGCTGCTGATGTCCTGCTATTCCCCACATTGTACATTTTCCCCTGTGAACATGAAGTGGGTTAAATTGAAATGAGCAGGCTCGATCATGCCAACCTTAGTCTGAACATTTATTCGGTGTCAAATCATTCCTTTGATTTGAAATGATCCAATGTAAAAATTGGTTTATTATGTGGTGTGAATGAGGCCAGGGATGTTTCAGGGGTTCACAGACAGCATACCAATCAAAATGTTTCAGTGTTTCAACTCTTCAATCCCTGGCTCCACTGCACTACTGCCTATTGGATTCAATAGTTTTTGTGACCGTTATAAACATGTTCATTGTAGAAAACCTTTTCCCATCCCCTGCTGGGAGCTATATTCAACTGTTCCTAGGCACTGTGTCAAAGGCAACAGAAATCTAGTCTGAACAGAGATGGCAAGACAGTCAAAAATTAATATGTTTTCCATAAGCAGTGACAGCTACACAATACCATTTCCAGTTCTTTGGAAGGAACCAGACCCAAGAATGGGAGGACGCCTGGCTGTGACACATTCTGATATATTATAATTTCTCTATATTTTTTTTATTCCTCTTTGGCTTATGTTCTCATGAATTATCCAGATGACTTGCAATTAGTCCAATAGTGTTTGTTTTCAGTGTGTTCTACCTTTCTGCTGCTTAATTTGATTTTCAGCATGGTTCCAGCTGCAACTCTTTTATGTGTGCATATATATATTTAACTTGTTCTGCTCCTGCTTTACAGAATTTTAATCAATTTCATCCATTAGTAATTTCATCCATGGCATACAAATGTAGTATGGTCAGTAGCAGCTGGCAAGAAAGGCAGAAAGCAATAAATGGAGTAGATAAATTGGGAATGGGCTATAGTGACAAGGGGCATGGTTTCCATGCAGAATGTTCAAATTTTTAGAGTTGAAGAAGAAGTTTCTGGAGTTTAAACTCCAGCTTCTGGAGTTTCAAAAGATTGAAAACCTTATGTGTTCAATATCTCCAGAATGTCTTAAAGCAGTCCTTGGGTCCCTATATCAGTATTAGGTAGCTGTCCATATTGGCTAAAGGATTCTGGACTTATACTAATGAGCCACTTGCTCAGCAAGATGGACAGAGGTCTTCTGACTGTATTAGTGACAGTTTCTAGATGCAATAGAGAAAAGAGGCAGTGAGGACAGCATCATCGAAATCCCTCGTAGGCATGTGCTGAGATAACTGTCAATAATGAAGGGCTGTCACACCCCTCTGTGTGCTGAGGTACAGGGAGGTTTTAACATGTTCTGCCTTGCTGCTGTCCTGATCTGGACCCTAGAGCTAGGGTGATTTGATAGCCAGTGTGGTGTAGTGGTTAGACAACTGGGCAGGGGCCTGGGAGAAATTCACTGGGTGACCATGAACCAATCATCTCTCTCAGCCAGATCTACCTTACAGGGTTGTTGTGAGGATAACATGAAGAAGATGAGAGCCATGAATGCCACCTTGTGTTTATTGTAGGAAAGGCAGGACATAAATATAAGTAATTTGTTGTTATGTTCCTTCAAATTGTTTCTGATTTATGATCATAAGGTGAAGAGTGTCACAAGGTTTTCTTGGCAAGATATATTCAGAGGGGTATTGCTATTATATTGCCAGTGTCATCCTCTGGGGATGTGAGAGGGTGACTTACCCAAGGTCACTCAATGACTTTCCATGGCTGAGTGAGAATACAAACCCTCATTTCCCTGAGTCCTAGTCCAACATTCAAACTACTATACCATACTGGCTCAAAATAATAGTAATAATACCACTGTTGTGTAGCTTGGCACTTAATAGTTTACACTGTAGTTCAAATTAAGAGCCTTTTAATGATGGCCTGCAGGGAGATGAAATATGAGCCACAGTCAGTTGCCAGGATGAGGTATGAAGGATACAAGTCTTTTTTTATATATATATATAAAGTTTTTATTATATAAAACAACATAATACAAACACATTATAACACATTTAACACCAACAAAACAACATAACATTAACTTAAACATACTTATAATAATACACATCTAATTGATCACATAAAATGACTTCCCTCCTTTACTTGAAATATTAAACTGTCTTATAACTTAGACTTTCAGATATTCCCTTTTTTCACCTCTTAAAAGTTCACAATCAAAATAGTTGTTAGATGAACTATAACAGTAAAACTACCCCTTTTTGCTTAAAAATTTATCTTGATATAGCAATTATTGTGGATCTTTATAATGAACCGGAGCTAAACATGTACACGCTGCAATTTATTATATTTAGTGACCACCGTTGATTGGTTAATCATCAATCTTTAAGGGCAATCACCCCAATTCCTCCCCATATTGTAGATAAATAATTTGTAATCGGCTCCCAATCTTTCTCATATTTATTTCTAGATTGTCCTTTCAAAAAACATGTTAGTTTATCTACTTCCATTATGTCATATAACTTGTGTTGCCATTCTCTTAGTATAGGTTGGTCTTTGCTTTTCCATTTTTTGCTAATAAATTTCCGTGTAAAACATATAAAACATTATCTTTCCATATCTTCATTCCAGATTGTCGTCTATTATTCCCAATAAAAAGGTTGTCAGATGCTTACTTATAGTGGTGTTTAAGATTTTCTCCATTTCTACATGTATTGTAGACCAAAAATTTTGCGCCCTTTCACATTCCCACCACATATGCAAATATGTACCAGGAGCTTTATTACATATCCAGCAGAGTCCATCTTTTTTCTTATAAATCTTAGATATTTTCTCGGGTGTTAAATACCATCTGTATTGGGATTTTAGATAATTCTCTTTCACCTCATAACTTAATGTGTGTTTTAGTCTTTTGTTCCAATTTTTCTCCCACTCTTCGAACATAATTGGCCTTTTAACATCTTGTGCCCAGCTTATCATGTATTGCTTAATTGTCTCTAGCTCCATTTCTGCCTTCAATAATATCTTATAAAGCTTAGAAATGATGC